ACATCGTGACGGAGAACCTTCAAGCCTTCCGAGGGAAGCACTACAGCGCGCTATTCGCAACTCGAAAACTTGGAAGACAGACATTGATTATCTGGGCTATCTGGTTGACAGTGGGTGAGTCAGGGGGTGTTGTTTTTAAAAAAATTACTATTATATCCCTACTTACCCTCACATTCAGGAATTGCCTACCCGCTGTTCTTTGCCTTCTTGCCCTCCTACCTGGCAACCAAATTCACAGAAAAATCTTCTCTCTCTCTAACATATCGAAACTACTGCATCACATCGGCTGTTGGAATAGTTGGACCCCTGTCCGCCGCAGTATCGGTAAACACCCGCATGGGCAGAAGATGGATGATGGGAATTTCAGCTGTTGTCACAGGCGTATTCCTATTCGCATACGTCGGTGTCAATACTTCATCGGCCGACTTGGCATTTTCCTGCGTTACCAGCCTTCTGGCTAATTTCGGTGAGATTAGATCACGTCCAATGATTAATTTCATAGCTTATTGATCCTACAGAGTACGCTATCATGTACGCGTTCACTCCAGAATCATTCCCGGCTCCTCATCGTGGCACTGGCTCTGGAACAGCGGCTGCCCTGCTTCGATTTGGAGGACTCGTTGCTAGTATTATCTCATCCCAGACTGGTTTTACAACTGCGCCAATCTATGCTAGTGCGGCATTGTGGATTGTTGTTGGCGTGTTGTGTGTAGGATTGCCCTTCGAGACCCATGGACACGATGCGCTGTGATTGAGTGAGTGACAGAGAGGCCTAGATGATGTATAGCATTTTGGTATACCTCCATAGGGTCTCAGTGAGAAAGCTAGTTATTCGACAAATGACTTGCTTGTGGTCAGATTAAGTTATCAATGCATTTTCCCATTAAATCCGAAGTGACACGGTCTTACTGGGCAACAAATCCTCTACGCTCGTATATCCCAAGTGCCCCGTCAAGTTGATCACCCAATCGAGATGTTCGAAAGCATGCGGATCTTTAAATAAACGAAATCATTAAACTACGAAATTTCTTATGGAAGGATTCAAATTATCCACTGCAATGTGCAAACTGGTCAAAATTGGGGGTGCTCATATCTGAATTGTAAGATAAGGGCTCTGATCCTTTCCTAGGCCAAATTTTTCTGTGGTAATTGATAGCACAGCTATTTATATACAGAAATCATAAGTAGTTAACTTCTAGGAGGTTACAGGCATCCTTGGAAGTCATCCTGGCGGATCACAGGCAATCCTACGCTGGGGAGGACGGGATGCCACCAAGGAGTTCGACATGATCCATCCTCACGAAACCCTGGAAAATATCGAGCGGTCATTCCTGGGCACGGTCGAGCCACGAGAGCGTCGAATCCCAGATTCTGCTGCCGAAACGATCATCCAAGCACCACCGAGCACATGGCTGAACCTAGATGAGATAGAATCGGCCGCCGCAAAAATCCTTAGCAAAAAGGCATGGGGCTACTATGTTTCCGCTGCCGATGACTAGATATCAAAGCACCTCAACACACTAGCTTACCGTTCAATCCTGTTTCGACCACGGGTGTTTGTCGACTGCCGCACGTGCAAATTGGAAACCAGCCTTCTAGGCCACAGCGTTGGTTTACCGATCTTCGTCATTCCAACTGCAATGGCGCGTTTAAGACACCCCGCAGGAGAAAAGGGCATTGCGGAAGGTTGTCGATCATTCGGGGGCCTCCAAATCATTGCAAATAACTCCTCACTCTCTCCGGAGGAGATTGTCGCCAACGCGCCGTCAACACAGATATTTGGATGGCAGCTTTATGTCCAGTTGGATAGGCCGTTGAGTGAAAGCATGTTGGCACGTGTTAATCGGCTGGCTCAAATCAAGTTTATCGTGTTAACACTCGACGCACCAGTGTCAGGTAAGCGAGAGGACGATGAGCGGATCCACATTCAAGCCAATAAAACAGCAAGTGTCAGCACCCAGCTCTTTGCTGGGACGGGTCCATCGCTCACTTGGGCGGATACTCTTCACTGGTTATCTCGGCAAACAACCAAGCCAATTGTCCTCAAGGGAATACAGACACACGAAGATGCAGTTCTGGCCGCTCATTATGCGCCTTTGATGCAGGGGATTGTTCTGTCCAACCATGGTGGGAGATCGCTTGACACAGCCCCTCCTGCAGTACACACTCTCCTTGAACTTCGAAAATATTGCCCGGATGTGTTTGACAAGGTTGAGATTTGGGTAGATGGTGGCATTCGTCGCGGTACAGATGCCGTCAAGGCGCTATGTCTTGGGGCGAAAGCTGTTGGGGTAGGAAGACCGGCTCTCTGGGGTCTCGCTGCTGGTGGAGTCGAGGGTGTTGAACGAACATTGAAAAGTTGGTTCTCCTTCAAAACATCGATTATGATGCCGTTGCTAATCTAAGAATGTCCACTCCCTAATTCTGTCAGAAGAGATGAAAACGTGCATGCGCCTCCTTGGTGCGGAGGCAGTTGACGACCTTGGCCTTCAACATGCATGTACCCCTTGCTGTTCTTTGGTGTGCTACTTTCCTGACACTCAACTCCTAGATTAACACGGCGATTTTGCAACAACAAATCTATGGAGGATCTTCGTATCTGGCAGACAGACGTTTGGGTTTGATGAAAGGGAAACTCTGAAGGACTGGAATGACTGCCCAATTGTGGAGAGTTAGCTTGGAAATACACAAAAGCCATGATTTTATACAGTAGGCTCATTTATCACTAAAACCATTGATGTCTCACCCATTGCGACTACTTTCGTAAACATCTGTTCTAGCCTTGGGCCAACTTTTATGCCTGAAGTACCAAGGCCAGAAAGCACGGCTCTCTCCCAACTCTTCCTTCGTTTGCAACTCCCTATTGGAGTATCCATAACAGATCTTTATTTAGTTCCCAGCTGTAGCTCCTGTGTTTAATGTGCTCTATTCCACTCAGCAAGACTGCAAAATATGAATGAATCATCCAGACAGTAACAAAACCACGAGCTAAAAGAAACTGCCTCGAATAGGGGCAATTAGGTTCAGTCATGACTAGGACAAATGTTTATATCTTTTACTAACAGGAGCTTTCCTATCTCCATTTCCAGAATCTGCCATCCAACTTGTTTAGGGATCCCCCCACCTTTGTCTGTCGCGGTACATTGTTGGGGGTACCCATAGAGGGGGACTATATTTAGGTCAACAGTACCCCTCCTACACTTAGTTCCAATCCATTTCAAATGAAAGAATTTTGTTTTCTCTTAGACTAGACTTCAAGCTTCCCCGTCACCAGAAACACCTCGAATCACAATCATCATGGGCAAAAAGCGCGTTCTTGTCGGTTACGGTGTTGACATTGACGCAGTAGCCGGCTGGCTAGGCTCATACGGAGGAGAGGACAGCGTAAACGACATCAGTCGAGGTGGGCCAGATGTTTCTCAGAAATGACTGTTAGCACACTAACACAATCGCCCAAAGGTCTCTGGGCAGGACACGTCGGCACACCCCGCGTGCTAAAACTATTCGAAAAGTACAACATCAAAGCAACATGGTTCATCCCAGGACACACGCTGGACACCTTCCCTGAAGAATGCGCAATGGTCAGGGATGCCGGCCATGAGATCGGGTTACACGGCTACTCGCACGAGAATCCCTGCGACTTGTCCACTGAGCAACAACGCGATATCCTCGACAAGACATACAAGATGTTGACGGACTTTTGCGGAAAGCCACCGCGCGGAATTGTCGCGCCGTGGTGGGAGGCCAGTGCAGAAATGGTTGAGCTCTTGCTCGCTTATGGGATTGAATATGATCATTCCATGTCCCATGAGGATTGCCAAATGTACTGGCTGCGGACTGGAGATACGTGGACAAAGATTGACTACAAGCAAAAGGCCGAGACTTGGATGAAGCCTCTGATCAAGGGTAATTCAACGGGTCTTGTGGAGATTCCAGGTAGTTGGTATATTGATGATTTGCCACCGATGATGTTTATCAAGAATTCAGCGAATAGTCATGGATGGGTAAATCCGCGGGATGTTGAGGATATTTGGAAGGTGAGTATTTTTAATTGTGTACAAGAGTACGAGGAGATTGAACTGACACGATTGCTTAATACAGGATCACTTTGACTATTTCTATCGAGAGTACGATGAGTTTGTTTTCCCTATGACAATTCATCCTGATGTTTCTGGTCGGCCTCATGTGTTACTCATGCACGAAAGGTATGTTCAAATTCATACTATCAGAGATGATTGTGTTGTTAATGTCCTGGATGCAGACTTATTGAATATATTAACAGCCACGAGGGAGTGGAGTGGGTGACCTTCGAGAAAATGTGCGATGAGTTCAAAGGAAAGAACCAGCCACCTCCAGGTGCACTCATGCCAGCTTCTCCCGGTGCGATTGCAAATGCAGAGGTAGAGGGAGAGAAACAGAAATAAACACATACACTAGCTTGAAGCTAGATTTGATCAACTGCCGCCCAAGAATTATGAGGTCACCTAAAAGTATTCGCCCCAGTGAGGTAAAACTTTCAATTGAATCGGCATTGACAAAAATCACCAACTCCTTCCGTAGTTGACGTATCACCCAGGACAAATATTTTCCAAGGGAGGCTATACAATTGGTTTTGTTTCGGAGAGTCAAAAGATCACACACGACCCAGTGCTGCAGACAGTGCACTTCTTGCCCTGAAGCGCCCGAACAACAGCGTAACACCCCAGTTGAACCTCAATAGTATAATGGTAAAAAAAAAGGCCGCGCCTTCCCGACCTTCAAAGGCTTCAGGCATCCCAGAGTACTTATCATCAAAGTCCTAACCAACAATGCCAAGACAGCGAAGTCATCAAAACCGGCAAAAATGCCAACTGTCTTAGTCGTAGTCTTGGCAAGAGCAAATCGGACTGCTCGGTCGAGTGTTGAGAGTTTTAGCTAACTGTCAACAGGGTTGACTACTCTTGAACGTGGTATGGCATGGAGATCAAAATAGCAGACAGGGGGGATGCCTGGGTAAATGACATCTGTCATGTGCTGGTTCATGATTTACCGCTTGTGAAGATCATGTGATTGGCTTTTGTTTACATCCCATGGCAATCTAGGCCTCTTGATGTTGTTTGACAAACCTATATGGCAGTTGCTTGGTTACTATCGAGACGTACTGTCCACTTGAAGAGGGTCTCACGACTTCGCCTTTTCTCCAAATCCATATCTACCCACCCAGACAAGAGTCAGATTCACCAGCCCAGTTACTTTTCCCCCCTTGATGCAGAACCACTTCATCACTACCGCCAAGGCGGCTACCACCCCGTTAATTTGGGGTAATGCTTAAAGTTCGGAAGGTACAAGATGCTACATAAGCTAGGATGGGGAGGTTACTCGACGGTGTGGGCGGCGAGAGATCAAAGGTTGTACAAAATTGGGAGACTCATAGTAGTTCTAGCTAACGGAAAAGACTCTCTGCAGGAATGATACGTATATTACTGTTAAAATTTGTGTTGCAGAAAGCCATGGTGGGGAGACACGAGCTTCCAAATCTGAACAAATTGGCATCTCGTCACCCTTATCTCGAACATTCGGTGCGCCTTTTTGACACTTTTAACCTCAAGGGCCCAAATGGATCTTATAATTGCCTGGTATATAAACTTATGGGATCTAACATTCCAGACACAATTGATACACACTTTTCCGGTAGGAGACTCCCTAGAAAGCTTGCCAAAGTCATTGCCAAGCAAAGCCTAGTCGGAATCAATAGCTTGCACCAACAAGAGATAGCACATAGAGGTAGGCCATTCTATTAGGATTGGTTTGAACTATTCTAACATAATGCAGATCTACATACCCGCAATTTGGCCTTCACTATACCTCGGATAGACAAGGTGACTAAAGAGAAATTCACCGAGACTCTAGGAAAACCAGAAATTGGCTAGATCCAAAGGAGTGACGGGAAAGACCTAGATCCTGGTTTACCTAAGTACATCGTAAGGCCTACCTCGCATCGGAAGCATATATAGAACTCAGCCCAGTCGATCAAGATACTCGACTTCGGCGAGTCATTTTCACATTCTCAAGTTCCTCGAACCCTACAAACACCTCTACCTGTCGCACCTAAGGTTATCTTTCAAGATCAAATTGACGATCGTGTTGATTTATGGAGCTAAGGATGCATGGTAGGTGAAGAATTTCGACGTTAAACCCCATAACATAGTTATCTGATAGGTGTGATAGCTCTTTGAAGTTTTCGTTGGCCAACCAACTTTTGACACCTTCATGATAACGCCTACACTCCTTGTTGGTCAGATGCAAGAGATGGCAAGTGATGACCTGCCTAACAGATGGCATGAGATATGGGACAAGATGAACGGAGATAACGACGAACTCACAGACAACCCTGCGCCCACTTTGCAGGAATGGCTAGAAGAATTGTACTTCGGTAGTCCGCAGAGTCTTGACCTCACCAGAGAGGATATCGTAAGCCTAGGGCGAATCATTGGAAAGCTATTGCGGTTTGAACTGTCAGCAAGAGCGTCAGCAAAACAAGCTTTGGATGACCCCTGGTTTGATGAGCAAATTTTATTAGGGTGATGACTTCGAGAAGCTGTCTGGAGAGCTCGAATCTGTAACGAGACTGTATCTAAAGATTTGCTGGACTTCCTTTCAATCTTCCAGGCGTGCATGCCGAAGAAAGAACTCGAGTTTGTGTGGTTCACTCATATTTAACATCCCAAAGACACCATTATACTACTGCCATACTTCCATAGTACTATCGTACTTGTGAAAAATCAATGGTAGATGATCCGGCCATTCTTTGTCACTGAAAGTCCACTGCTTCTGGTAGGCCTCCTAGTATCTAGGCAGCCACCTAGACTGTTCCTAGTCAAAGGTCGCCAGGATGCGATGTGGTTTGTAGGACGTAATGATAATATTGCTCCAGTGAAGGTCACTTTGAGTGAACTTGCAAGTACTATCATTGGACAGGTCATGCCAAAGGGTTGTATTGGGACAAAGTGTGGATAAGGCATACGTTTGCGATAGAGATATGTATGCCAGTCACAAAACTCATGAACTGCATTAAACGGCCCCACCTCATCCGTGTGGGCAGTGAATAAGATGGTATAGATAGATTTACGTGCTTAATTAACTAGATGAAAGTTGGAGTTATCAGTCATATACGTAAGGTATAAAGCCGGCACAAACCTATCAGCTTGTCGGAAGGATCTTGTCCCATCTGGCAAAGGCTGCCATGACAAGACTTCTGATGGTTTGCAATCTCTCATGGGATTATTAACATCTTCACAATCCGTTTAATGCTTGTAGATATTTAGGTACTTGCATGCTCACATGGCATGATTTTGTGTTGTTGGCCTGAGGCTAGATGATTGCATACTGTACAAAAATGAGACAGGACTGTCCGACACGGTTTGTCCATAGTCAAGTACATCATTATCTCTTCAACTCTTGGAGACTCAATCGCATCTTCTGAATCTCAAGATCCTCAGTAAGAATTTTGCTCGTAATCAACTATTCGCAGATAATACGTTAAGTAGGATTTGTCAACCTAGACTTCAATCGTCCTATATTCCACTATTCAAAACTGCAAGGGCCAAGGGAACCATCACCAGGCTTTAGTTGAAGGATAGCACAAAGCGGCAACGGCCAAAAGGAATAGAAATACACTTCATCGGTTCCGATTCCATTCGCCGCTAATACACACTCCCACTCAAATCACTTCTCTGTTCCCCTGGTGATTGGCCCAGCACTAAGCTCAAACGAGAGTAATAGGCTCAGTTCCGAAGAACACAGATACATTTGCATAGTCCTCGCTGCACTCAAAGTCCACCATCTGACCCTTGGTAAAGTAGACACAGTCTCCAACTTTGAGGGTGAATGTTTCTCCACCATGAACATGCGCCTTGATCCACCCCGCTGTCACATAACTAAATTCGTCACAGGGGTATGTCATAGTGGCTGTTGCAGACTCGCGGAAAGCGCCAGCAACGCACCTGCCATCCAGTGAGCGGAATATGATGGCTTTGGTACCCTCCCATTCCGGAAATTCCTCCCAAGAAAACGAGTCCCATTTTCCAAACGGGACTTTGCTGGGCTCATCGGAGCCGGTGGGATTGGCTTGGGACTCTGGCATATTAGGTAGCAGACTGAAGTAGTGATTTGAAGACCAGTGGGTGTTGTTGACGACAAGAGGGGGGGGTTGTCTTTTTTAAAGACAGATTATGCTTCTACATCACGCACTCTTATATCCCGTCCCCTAAGACGCGGTGTACTACGTGGTCGATGCCGATGGTGCACTTACATTCCTCTTAAATATCACTATGTGATACTTACGCACCCACCCGTTGACCTTTCTTGGTCTCGTGGTTCCGTTGACAATAGCAGAGTTGTTTTAATTGACTTCTTATGTTACACTTGAGCTATCATCATTCCAGCACATACATGGCTGTTCAGTGATTGGCTGCTCAACGAAGGGCTGTGTTGGAACTTGAGATAAATGGGGTGCAGGCATGTTAAATACGCCTAATTCAAGGTTTTACAAACGAAGTGCTCAGGAATCTGAACTTGCATATCTCAACCCCCCCCCCCTTCCGCCATCCCGAGATGACAGCAAAGCAAGGGTCTAATCATCGCCAGTAATTATTATCGTTCAGCTGAATGGATTTATGAAGATCCAAACGCTCGAAATGCTATGGATAGGCTGATTCATGATTCTAGCCGCCGCCGCCGCATATAACATGGTAGAGTGGTAAGCCTAGGTTGTCTACTCCATACTATTGATTGTTCACATCCCTGGCGCCACATGTTATATTTTTCTATCTATAACACCGCGAAGGAAAAAAAAGGTATCGGAATGTTATCTTACACCACAACTCTACTTGACGGTTAATCAGCTGCCCAAAATGACTACCTTGGACGCCAGGGAAGGATTTAGACAAAGCAAATATCTTGGAATACAAAACTTTGGGACTTTAGCTCGGAGAGAGATTTTGTGGTCGGGCTTTGCGTGGTAGTACAGCTACATTGGTCTCCTTTCTGTGGTAGGTTGTGTGAATTGAATCGACTATATGGCTCTTTTAACCAACTTCGTTTTCCTTACGTGCATTTACTGAGCATTTTGAATTTTTTTCTCCTTTGAAGGCCTTTGTTCAAAATTTATTTGGTTCCTTCTTGAGGCTAAACTTGTGGTTTAGGCCCTTGTTGAAGGAGAAAGCAGGTCTTTCTTGCTCCTTATCTTCTCTTTAGTTTCTTGCTCTATCTCTCCTTTCGTGTGGAACAAACCTTTAAGATAGACACCACCTGTATGTGGCTTACTTGTTCATGAACGTGACTCTTTTTAAGATCGGGATCGGAATCAGATACCTAGGCAGCAGACCTACAATGACCAAACTATATAGTGAATCCTAGAATTTTTCCTGATAATTAAATCAATAAAGAGCTATTAAAAAAGATGTCAGGAAAAGTGTATTATTGGCAACCGAATATCAGTTGATCCAAGATAATCTCGCGAGTCTTCCCTCCAAAGCCACACTTTTCTGACAAATCACACCTCACTTTCAATGTCGGCTATGCACAATAGGTTCTGCCTACTGGGTGACATGAGCCCTAGTTCGAATATTCATGGCGCCCGTTATCACTTCGCACGCAGAGAGAATTGAAACATTTGTTAACTTAGTCCCAAATCAGCATAGAAGGTCGAGCAATCTCAGCGTGAATGGCTCAGCAGGCAAATACTACCACCTTGTTGTCAATCTAAGGTTATCTGAATCGGCTCCTCCTCGTTACGGTCTATCCCAATCATGCAGTCTTATACATGATCGCGCTCTACAATTATCTATACGAAGCAACTATCTCTTCACCAGACATCCATGATAGGTTCTAATAACACAAAACCTAGACTTCAACCTTGAAGAGATTTAGATATATCGCACTCCTATCGAGTCTGCCTACAGCATCATTCAGATCCAGGTTCAATATCTATTGGTGAAAATTTTCTCATATGTCTTGATTGATGTTCTAACACACTAAGCTGATTGCGATAAATTCCTTCCGGTGCTTATAGAACGGCCGTGTACTTCCACCGAAGCCACCAACCAGCCGCTACTAATAGCCTCTAAACTGTACGGAAAGCGACCATGCTATCGTGGGCACACGCCGAGAATAACGCTTCTTTCCGCTCGAAAGTTAGAAGCACGCTCCTCATAATATCGATGAATTTACAAGGACTATGAGTGGCCATCGGGCACCGTTGTTAGTCATAAATCCGATTCCGGCCCCGGTGGTGCGCCTTGCTCTGGGGCACAATCAGAATTGCACTCCGAAGAGAATTTGAAACCAACAAGTGGAGGGGATCAATTGGCTTCTTCTAAATGACATTTTTTTTCAAAGTTAATCCCCTGACTCACCAAAAGCTCGCTTTACAGCGGGTCTCCTGGTTTGCTGGCTTATCTGGCAGGAGATAAACCCGATCAACGACCAACAGGCCAGAAATCATGACTGTCTACACGCGGGGTTTTGTGATCTGAATCGACTGACTCCTTGGCTTATTGTGGTGGGATTGGTGGGTAGGAGACTAGTGGCGCATGGCACATTCAAAGCTCAGAATGGCGTGCGATGTAGTTATCTACCCACCACTCCCGGCCACAAGGTGCAATACTTGGGATTTACAAGCAAGACAGACTTCGAAGACTCACACTTTCACACCTGGAACTGTTTTGCAATTATGGTCGGACAGGCATTGACATCTGTTGCTATTGTTGGTGGCGGACCCGGAGGATTAGGAACGGCGATTGCTCTCTCGGAACTACCGTTTCTGAAGGTGACTCTGTACGAGAAAAACACAGAGCCCCGAGAAGCCGGTGCCGGCATCAGCTTGAGCACGAATGCGTGGAGAGTTCTGGATTTACTTGGAGCTAGCGAGGGAGTCAAGGGTGGCTCCAAATCTAACACACACCAAAGGTAAGCAGTCCTTTTAAGCCACAGTACCAACCGACGCAATCGTTGACCTTGTACTCTCGAAGAAATGCCTATACAGGCAAGGTTTTGAACGTCACTGAACATCCAGAAAATTCGGCTGCAGATTCCCGCGGAGCAATCCGTGCTCGCAGGACCCGACTGCAGTCAGCTCTCTTGTCGAGAGTGCCCGAGGGCTTGATTCAATTTGATAAGAAGGTTGTTTCTTTGGAGAATCTTACAAGTCGGGGAGTTCGTTTGGTTTTCCAGGATCAAACAGAGGCGATCGCAGACATTGTCGTCGGAGCGGATGGACTACACTCTGTTCGTCAACCCTCCTGTGCGAGAATAAGTATTTGTAACTGATGCAGATTCGTGAAATAGGTTGTCCGTAAGACCTTGTTGCCTGAACACCAGCTTCACTTCACGGGCAACAGTGCGTTCCGTGTTCTTGTTCCGAAATCTCATCTGGCTCATATCCCAGATATCACGACTACAACGTCATGGTGGTGGGGTGAAGCCGGCCATGTATATCTCTCCGATGTAGATGATAAGGAAGAGATCAAAGATCCGCTGTTTGAAATCACTGTTCGCTCCTATCGTGAGCCTGAGGTCTCCGGGAAGACGGTCTTTTGGGGCATCCCTGCAACCAACGAGAAAGTGGGGTCGCGTGTTGAGGTATGACATAGCTTTGGAGAATTGAGAGAGGGGACGAATTGCTAACATGTGGAAAAGAAATATGATCAAAGACTAAGAGACGCAATAAGCGCGGTGACTGAAGGGGAGTGGAGGGAGTTTGCGACATTCGCTGGTCCTCGTCTGGATAAGATTACCTACTGGGATAAAGTCGCCCTCATCGGAGATTCCAGCCACCCTCTTTCTGGTAAGTCCAAGTGGTATCAATTTAGGCTTATTATCAGGTCCAGCGCTAACGGCGTTCCAGGCGCGTTTGGCTCTGGAGCGACATTTGCCATGGAGGATGGTTGGATCCTCGCCCGCGCACTTGAACTTACGCAGCTTTTCTCTCGTCCTGCACGGGATGCTCTCAAAATCTTTGACCAGATTCGGTCTCCGTACTATACTAAGATGTGAGTCTGGACCTGAGACTGTGAGCCAAATGGATTGTGTCTGACCATGCTTTTCCGACCCTTCACAGGTATCAGCATCTAGACGAAATCCGCGATAAGGCGCGAAGGCTCCAAGCAGAAGAGAAAGATTTTGATGTCCTTTTGCAAGCCAAGATTGACTCTTTCCTCTATGGAGACAAGGATTTTATTTATCAAAACGACATTAAGAAAGTGTGGGAAGAATATCTCACAGCACAGCAGGCAGGGTTTTAGTTCGCCCAGAAACTGCTTCAAATCTCCATTATATACACCAGGCCTCTCTTACATGTTTCAGTTGTTGCCAGCATAGATTTTAGTCCCGATGTTATTGATTGATTTGCCCACATCTCTGGTTATAGTTTTTCGCCACTATTGTATATTTTGCCTTGCATATCGTGGAGTGATAAGCCTGATCATAAAGCAAGAAGAAAAAAATACAATTGGAGTGTGATCTTACGTGTAGCGTCCCTTGTATCATCTCGGGCCAGATTATCAAAGTGTTGAACCGTAAAGGGCACAGGCCACATCCACAGTCGATTACTTTTGTTTAGAGTCGCAAAAAAAAATTAATGACTTTGAATCAAAAATTTTGAGCATTCCCTGAAGGATAAGATCTCAAATCTCCTTGATCTACAATATAGTGCTCGGCTAACTCTTTGCAGATCTGCCCCCTATTTGTGGTCGCATTGTGGGTCATCGTCTATATTGGCACTTTGTAAGGGGCTGTTTTCTTTTCAAGCTTTTTTTCGCCTTGTTTGGTAGATCTTCGGGTAGTGGAGGACAAGGATTTTGGGGAAAACAGCATGATGTCTGTATAATTTTTAGGTCGCACGTAATTTGTGTAGTGCTTGTGAGTGGTGTGATTCTATACTTTGCAAGGATTGCGGAAGATAAGCAGATGACCAGGTTTGTAAGGGAGAATCTTTACGAGTTGGGGAGTGATATGAAAATGTAGAAATCCATACCGTCAGCACCGCAGAAATTCAGATGGTAAATGAATAGAACTCTGTTACTTAGATGGGTAGAGTGTCTTATAGTACTCCGTAGACTTGCGTATGCTCTGGGCTGGAGGATCACGTGATGCGGAGAGGAGAATCTGAAAATTTCGTTTTTTCCCAATTTCTTTTTTTTATTTTATTTTTTATTTTTTTTAATTGTTTTTTTTCCTCGCCATCGAGGATTCCAGCCCAGCGTCATCCACTTTATCTCCAATCTACTTCTGCTGGGCCCTGTCATCCGTTAAGGACTTTAGCAAATAGATTTGGATCACCTTCGCTGCCTCTCTGGATCCCTTCCAGCTGGTTCCCTCCCCTGAATCCCTTTGAGCGACCGTCGACTCGTTTTCTCAAACTGCGCTGACCGACTCACCTCGGTCTCCGTAGCCGCTAATCCCACTTGGGAATCAGTGGGTTGCTTTGTTGCCTTGTTGCCTCAGGCCGCCAGGGAACAACAAACACGCGGCCTCGGCGCGACTTGGGTGGCGATTCTCCGTATAGAATTATCAGCGGCGCTGGCGCGACATCAGTGACAGTATTGGTTAAAACAGCCCTTCTGTATTTTACATTTCCATTTTCAAGCTAGCTCGCGATCATTTTGACTGTTCACGCCCTTGCATGCTTCGTGGTTGAAAAGGATCACTCCATTCTCTGCCGCTTACGGCCAAGGGCCAGCGCATTTCTAAAATCAAGTCAAAATGATGAACTACGGTGGTCACCCATACCACCCTCAACAATCGCAGCAGCCTCAACAACAGCAACATCAAGCTGTCCAACCCCAGCATCCATTGGGTCCACAGCCTCAACGTCAGCATGCCCAGTCGCCTTTGCTAGGTGCTGGGCCGACGCTCCCACAGCATGGCAGTCCATTCCCAGGCAACAAGCCAATTTTTCGGGGGCAAGCCCAGCAGAACTTTACTGCATCGCAATCTCCCGACATGCGCAAGATGACCCCGACATCGGGATCATTAGGTGGGTACCCTACCAGCAGTAGCTTTGGCCAATTTCCGGGGCAGTTTGCGGCCCAGAGCTCCCCGGATCTGATGTCTCGCGGCCCAGATCCTATGGGGCTGCAGAACCTACAGCGTGGATTTAATCCGATGGCTCACCTCCGGCCGCAGCCGGGCGCAGCTGGTGTCACCCATGGTCATCCCATGAATGTCCCTTCGCCACAGCAGGTCTTGAATAGACTACCCCATGCAGGCATGCAACAGAGGGATGGCCACACCTCGGCCAGTCCGTCTATGGCTAGCACCTCTATGTTCGCCATCAATCAACAGCGACAGACTCAGCCGCAGTCACAACCGCAGTCACCTCAGCAGACACACCAACAGTTGCAACACCAGATCCAGCAGCAGCAGTTCCAGCAGCAAAGGATGGAGCAGCAAAAACAAATCCAGCAGCAGCGTTTAGAACAGCAGCAGCGTTTAGAACAGCAGCAACGCTTAGAACAACAGAGGCTCGAGCAACAGAAGGAGTTGGAACAGCAGAAGTTAGATGAGCAAAAGATGCTGGAGCAGCAGCAGCAACGCTTAGAGCAACAGAGGCTCGAGCAACAGAAACAGCATCAGCAACGGGTGGAGCAGCAGCGGCTTGAGCACCAAAAGCAGCAATTGGAGCAGCAGAGGTTGCAAAAATTGCAGCACCAAACCCAAGCACACAACCCATATCAACAACAGTCACCCTTTTCCCAACACACCCAGTCTCCGTTCCACCCATCTCAATATCAACAACATCAGGCTCAATCGCAACATCAGTATGCCCCACACCAAACGCAATTCTCTCAGCCGCAACAGACGCAATTTCAGCAATCTCCGCACCAGGCTCAATTCCAGCATTACCAGGGACCGCATTCGGGTGGCGTACCCTCATCCCAGCCACCTGCGCCGGTTGTACCTACGGTCACGGAAAGCCCGGTGATGAAGACTGACGAGTCAAGTCCTGCACTGAAGAAGAAAGCCAAACCTAAAAAGGCTGCTCCGGCTCAACCTCAGCCTGTTCAAACCCAGGCCCAGCCCCATGCTCTGCCTCAACTAAATGCCCCCATGGCCATTCCTAGCGCCATCCCCACCCAGGCCAATGGACAGGGCCAGATCCCTGCCGTAACCGCAGTTGGGGGTGACCAGATTGCCACTCCGCCTGCGAAGCGTCGTCGGGGAAGACCTAGGAAGGAGGAAGTTGCCGCCAGGCTTGCTGCGCAGGCCGCACAGGCTGCCCAAAATGGCGAGTCTATTCCAGGAGTACCTCAGCCAGGCCAGGCTTCATTCACTGCGAATATGACGCCAACTGCTCCCGGCTCCGTCGCAAACATGATAACTAAGGGGACGCCTATCCTGGGACCGGACGGGACTCCTTTGAAACGAAAACGTGGACGTCCTCGTAAGGCTGATCAAATTGCGTGGGCAGCTGCAACGGGTCAACCTTTGCCGCCGCCCAAACCAAGAAAGCCAGCTTCGGCCAAACCAAAGGCACCTGGCACCGGCCGACCGCGCGGGAGACCTCGCAAGGCTGATGTGGCTGCTGCAGCCGCCGCCGCCGCCGCCGCCGCCGCCAGTGGAGAACAGACGCAAGCAGAGGCCAACCCCCAATTGGGCGAGGGCACAGATACAACGACGGTCTTGAACCGTGCAACCTCTTCGATCGATGAAGAAGCGCATAAACGGCCCGGCCCGACCCCACCGCAGATGCTTCAAGGCCAGTCTCTGCCGCAACAGCAGAACCTCCACATTTTCCAGCAGAATCAAGCATCACAGGCCCAGGCAAATCAACATCTTGGGCAGCCACAAGTCCAGCATATGCACCAGCAACAGAATCAACACATGTCCTCGCAACCTGGCTCTCATATGCCACATAGTCAATCACTAGCCCAGCAGCCTGGCCAGCCACTCTCCATGCCTCACATGCAAATGCATCACCATTCTCCTGTCCACCCGCCGCGGCCCCTTCCTCATCAGCCATATCTTCAATCACCGATGCAACAACAGATGCAGCACCCGATGTCGTCCGAGTCCCCTGTCCACGGGATGCCAGGACAACAGCGCAGACCTCCGATTCCACAACGGAGCCAGGCCCCTCCCCCACCCGCACCACAGCATGAACATCAGCATACCTTCCAAGTCCAGATGCAGCCGCAACCAACCTAGTGCTGAAGATTGTTAGGGACATGGTTTTTCATCCAATTAATGCCACATTCATTGACCGAAGGTTCTCTTCTGACCAGTATATTTTGAAATCTTCATTCTAAAGAACATCGGTGTCTATATCATATCATTCCTGGGCTCTGTCACGTGTGTTTTGTCGAACGTTTTACGTCCAGGAAATCTCGTATGAAGTCTTTTCGTGGGCCTATTATGGCGTTGCGCGCTTTTGTGTCATTGGCATTTCTTGTTTCTCTCCATCGTTTACTTAGCCTGTGTTCCTTTCTTTTTTTTTTCTTTACATATCTAATGTTCTCAATTTAGTACATACTCGGTCCCAATCTCAGATTGTCAGTTGTGCACCACTAGCCTTGTTTCACCTCGCTCTGCATGCTCAGGTGGCGTACAGTCGTTCACACTCTATTCACATCAGATCTTTCCCTACGTAAGCATGCACACACCGATTACCTTCGTCAAGATGAGATTCCGAAAGAGTAAACGAGATATCGACGAGTGCAATAGATAACCCATGTTCCAAATTTGTGACCGAGAGCACCGTGATAAAAGAATGCTGAATGGAAAGAGAAGTCTCATAGAATTCCAGTTGTGTAGCGTCCACGACATGTCTCCGGGCCAAGTAGATAAATAGGTTTAACAACGAAAGGGGTATTTAAAGAGTTCAGCTTGTCGATTTTGTAGATTGTTGACACATGCACACCACTGAAATTCCGACCTAGATTCTTCCACGGTGGACTCCGATTCACTTTGAAAGCGGTCGATCTACGTGCCACTTTTCTGTTGTATTGTGCAATCTGTATCAATACTGTTCAAATGTAAAATAGGCTTCATCGTGCGATGTTCTGTAGTTGTTAGGTAGTCCTTGACCCGTAGAAGGGGCCCGCTAAAACAAGTTGGATCAGCTCTTGCCAATTCAATTGTTGATTTACTATCCAGTCTGAGTGTAACATAGTTTTAGGAGGTAGTGATGTTGATCAAATCCGGTAGAAGTGATACGCTACTACACTGAAGTGCCTATATACATCGATATGAACCCAGAGTACGACAATAACTGTAAGACTTCTTTCTTTTGTTGCAAAACTGGGTTTAATCACTTTTGATATTTATGTGGTAATTTCAACTCCACATAACTCCAGTTATCATGCTCCTCCCCTTCTTAGTTTATACTTCTTCTAGCTCCTGTCCATTGAACAGAGCACGAAAATGGCAACGGGCCCATAGAATTTCCACAGATGTTTACTAGGAAAAGAGGACCCTCTAGCACCTTTCTACGAGTGGCTTTATATTTTTGCGCTGTTCACAGTTGGTGGGATTGAATTGGATTTCATCTCACGAACCAACTTTGAAATTCTATTGCGGTAGGACCCTTTCGTCTATGGCAGTGTAAGTATGTCTCGTCGCTCTCGTTCTATCACAGCGGTCTAACACCCCCACTCTTCGATTGTACCCATGCTTCGTTTCCTGTTGATGGGGCCATAGCAACATGAATTCCAAAGATGGCAATTTCTAGTCTATGTCTTCATTTCCCGGGAAACATTGTTGACTGACTAACTTTCTAGCTCCAAAGTGGTCATCGGTTTTACTGGCAACTCATAGCCTTGCTCTTTTACTTGACTCTCGTGGCCAAGTCTAAACGCTCAGAGCATCAACCCTTCACCCCTCAACCAATCGCCCAACACAAACACGCACAGGGTTTCTAGCATACATGTAGGACGATGTATGACACACACCGTGTCGCTATACTCCATTCCACACTAGCGCAAGTAATACAGCTGATCCGTGTTAGTTTATACATACGTGTCTGGCTCCGAATTCACCCTCCCTACTGTTGTAGCCACAAGGCAAGCATTCTGCTTGCCTAATTTTAGCTAACCGCAAAAGTTCCTAACTTGATTTATTCCGGGTTCTCCTGTCTTCCCTTTCCGGCGGGGCTTTCCTATCGATACTGCCCTTTTATGAGGGTTCTCCAGCTTAGGCTTACCAAGTGGATGTTCGCACGGGGTCAGATCAATGATCATGCCGAGGCCAGATGTAGAGAGCTATGATAGAACGACTATACAGCTTGTCATTGGAGTGGTGTTATCTTTTAGCCGCTCGAGTAATAGCAGTAATTGGCCCAGTGGCGCAGTGGTTAACGCGCCGTGCTTGTACGTATACGAACAGGAACACGGAGACCGGGGGTTCGACTCCCCCCTAGGCCCATGTCTCTTTTTTTTTTTTTCTTTTTTCTTTGTGTACTGTGTGGTATGAGCTTTGGTATCAATTTGATCAGTCTAGTTATCAGAGGTGTCATAAACATTTCTTATATCTCTTCCATAATGGGGTAACGAGTGGGGCAACGAGGTCTTTGATACAGACTCAAAGAGTACAGTATGGCTGGTCCCACGTTGCAAGGAAGTAATCCAGCGGCGAGTTAGGCGGTCAACTGTCGTGGCGGTAAGAAGCTGCGAGGTAGTTGCCCTCCTTCTGTCTTCATGGCCACACGTTCATTGACATCGTTCACGAGGCACACGCAACGTTGGGTTTACAGTGAACGAGACAGAATAGGCCATCTCTGCCAAAGGAATTCGGGGATATGAATAAGAGGTACGGCCTGGGAAAAGGCTCGTCACTGTATACTACATGTACACCACAGGCAGACTGGTGGTAATGGAGCGTCACATGCCACAATACTGCAATGTGATGTCCTCACAGACGTAGGCATTCGTTGATCAGTCATGTTCTCATCGGAGCGAACAGCTATAAGAGGGGGAAGCATGCTCGACTTAACCCTAACACACACCACCTTCAAAATCAACCAACTCTTCAAAGGCCTCCATCCCACTCCCACTATCAAGCCCATTACTCCCGCTACCATCCCCGCAACTCCCATTCCAATTTCCACTGGATCTCATCGACCTCTCCTCCCTCAACCCTTCAAAACAACTCCTATCAGGCCACTCACTCAAATCAATCCCCAGCCCAAGCGCAATCTTCCTGACAATCCCATCACAGAGCAGAAACGCCCTCCGCGCCGCCGGATCCACCGAAGCAGTCGTATGAAGCCAAAAAAGCGCCTTCTTCGCCGCCGCAATAGCCGTACCTAACCCCGTCTCCAGCAGCGGGGGGTAGCCCCCCTGCGGGATGGACGGGGCAGTAGCATGCGATAGGAGTGGATTTGCGCCGTCCGGGCTGGTCGACGCATTCTGGCCAGAGCAGTACGATAAACCTAGCAGGAGAGCCGTCGTCGCCTGCATGAGGAAATGGAGAATACTCCACCAGGGTGCGGCGCGGGCCAGCCAGGTCATGTTCGGATCTTCGGGGAGAACGGAGATAAGCGCGCAGGAAGCTTGTAGACAATGGGTAGCCATTTCGGACCGGAGTGTTCCGCGTGCGGTTGGTTCGCCAACGGGTGAGGCGTGGCGCAGGGACTGGTGGATGTGGCTGAGACAGGGTCTGCAGAGAGTGATGCGGGCGGAGTAGTAGTTCATTGCTAGACAGACACGTTCACGGACGAAGGGGGCGGCGAGGTCGTCTCGTGGAAGATGGTGTAGATGCCAGGAGGTAGCGTTTGGTAGGGTGAATTGGTAGCAAAGGGGAAGTTTGGAGAGCCAGCGGTCCATTTGGAGGCTGAATTTTTGGACGTGGTATTCTACTTGGCTGGAGCCTTTGCGGAGGCCTTCGATGCTGTAAACTTTGTTCATGAGGGCGTGGGTTATGAGAGTTAGGTCGAAGAGGAAGTAGAAGAAGAGGGATGGACAAGGTGGGCAGATGGTTACCCATGCGGGGGAGTGGTGTTGGCGGGGGGCTTCGAAGATGGTTGGGCGGAGTTGGGCTTCACGGAGAACGGGATCTTGGAGCAGGCGCTTAGCGTCGGGTTGGTCAAAGGTTTCTTCGTCGTAGGGGAGGGGTGCGGGCACGGAGCAGAGACCTTCGCCGACGCAAGAGGCGCGGCCGGTCATGGAGGTGATAAGGTGCTCGAGGGAGTAGATAGACCACCAGAGACGACCGCGGGTTTCTTTGGCAGCGTCTTTGGTGCGGTCATCTGTGAGACGGAGGTTGATGCCAAGGGATAGGGCTGAGCGGAGAGCCATATTGGAGAATTTAGATGCTCTGCGTGGATGGAGAAATCAGGATGATGCTCGGGGAATGGAGACAGGGGACCTACCGATTAACCTGTCCTATACAAAGCAGGTAAACTGCCACGAGAAGTTCGAGTTGAATCTGCTGGAGATCGGTGTGCTCGAATAGCACATTACCATGTAGACCAAGATGGCGCGCCCGGGTCAGGTAGAGCAGGTCTTCCTCGCGGGTGCTTTGAGGGTTATCTATGAGTCGACAGTACCGACAACCAATAGCAAAAATCATGTTCAGAATGGCCAGCCATTTCCGGGGTGGCGTCGATGCATTATTGAAACATGTCTGATACTGGGAGATGAAGGTCATCTTTCGAATTGCGCTGAATGTCGGATGAACGTTGGTCAGGTAAGCATCGAAGTATCGGTCTGCTAATTTCCGTGGGGGCACAGCCAATGGGTCGCAGGGTTCAATCAACGGAATTTCCAGGCTATCAAGATGATAATCCATCATCGAAGTCGGAATTTGCTTTTCCAATGCCTGTTGCTGCTTTTGCATAGCCGCCGAATCACGATGACTCTCAGTATGGAAAGCAGTTGGCCAGTTTTCCTGTGGACTCTTCATCCCCACGCCGCTCTCCAGCTTGCGTATCCAATTGACCTCCGAATTTTTCCCAAAGAAGCCCGCAGCTCGGGTCTCCTCGTTCCGATTGAGGTCTTCGTCAACCTGGTCGATAGCGTCTAGTGAGCCCATCGATGTAGAGGAATTATCGGAGTCGACATGATTTCTAGCGTTTCTAGCGGTTTTCCCATTTTTGGACTTCATTTGCCAAATGACAGTCAGAGTCTGAACTCGGGACTCAAATCATAAGATCCGAGTCTCGAGTGAGACCCGAACTTCATCTGACATTGACTGGACTTACCTTGAGCGCTCGTTTGATCCTTCGAGCGGTCGGAGGATCCACCTCGGCTTCGAGCTCTCGAAGAAGAGCTTCGTATTTATCCACTCGCTTGACTAGGGAGCCCAGTCGCTTCTGGTCGCGCACTCGTTTGACGTCCTCGTAGGAGCAAGAGTGATGGTGGTATGCACATTGTCCGCACAACGGCCGGACACCATCACATTTGATTTTTCGCTGGCGACATGGCTCACAGGCCCGGGCTGACCGTCGGCGCCCGTGCAAAGTGTCGGGGTTTGCTAGGCGAGGTATTGCTACCTTGGGCGCAGTACTCCCTGTGGATGTTGACGGAGCGGACACATACGGTGAGAAAGCTTGGGCGGGAGGCAGGATTGGCGAGAACGGGATAGGCGTGGCAAACTGCTGTTGAGGTACAGAGGCAGCATTGAATGGCGTCCAGTCGTAGTCATCGACAGTCGTGTCATCTTGGTTTTCTGAATTATCCATCTTGCGTTCGAAATCATCGACATGGAAGAAATTATAGAGGATGATGGAGGGGAAGTTACCAAAAGGTTGGACAAGCCCATCGCCAAAAAAGAAAAAGAAAAACAAGGATTGGAGATCTCTTTTTCAGTGGGTTGGTTTTGACACTTTTAGAAATATTGCCGTGGACATTGCATTGCCATCGCCACTTGGTGGGTCGACGAACTGACGATTTGACGTCAGAGCACATCTCCCCTCCCAACTGTAAAACACATCAACTTCCAGAGATGATCCCCAAAGTTGTTGTCAATGGCCAGGAACTGTCTCATTCGGCTGAAGTCTCCATCTGTCACCTTCAGTATCCTGGATACATCTGAACGATCTATATCTGTGGAGCTGATCCATACAACCTTGTCGCCACTTCATCCCGGCGAATTGGACTTGTTAAAATATGACGGAGATTGGAAAGAGATGACGACAATGACCATGGCAGTATACATTGTATTATCTCCATCCTTTCCCCTCATCTTCCAACAGGCCGATACCTCTCCACCAAAACATCATCCTTCCCCAGACTAAGACTCTCATACCGATCTAACATATCCGAAAGTCCAAGTCCCGGATAGTCCTGCAACCCCTTCCCCTTCCCCTTCCCCTTCTTCTCTCCAATCCCATGATACTTATCCTTCTGATTCAGCTTCTCAAGACCATCGGCATACTCATCAAACCGACTACACCCCCTCTCCTTCGAAGCCTCATCAAACAAATCCTTCAACTCATCAGGCACAGAACTCGCCTCTCGAATCCGATACCCCTGTGCTTTCGCCCGAACCGACTGCCGGAAAATATGAAACAGGTTCCTCCCCAGCGCAGACCGACTCGCGATGACAGAGAATGCACTTGCAAGAGAGAGGAAATCCTCATCTAGCACGTCGAACGAGTCTTGTTCAAGCATTGTAAATAGCGCAAGGTTGATCGCATACATCGCAAACTGGTGCGCACGACTAACCCCGAACTCGCGTCGGTGAAGACGCGTTAAGGCTGCGATGTCGCGCGCAGCGCTCTGCGTTACTTCCCGCGCGTTAGATTTCGTCTCGGGAGTGTGACGCGGTGGGCTTTCAGGTGTTTGGGGCTCGAAAGGAATGAGGGGGACTTTGTCGTTGGGGATGCAACTGAACAGGTTTATGATGAGGGCGTTGTAGCGCATTCTGTTTCAAGATGAGCATCGTGTTTTTGCTTTCGCATGGAGACGCTAAGAAAGACGGGATTCTGGTACGCTTTCTACTCACTTGAGTAAGATGATATGCGGAGCTGGTCTATACCGGACATCAAAGTCCTCCGGAAGAAGCTCGTGCCAGCGACAAATACGGTCATACAGATCCTCGCGGCTTTGGTGGTGGATAGGACCGAGGGCAATGTTGCTCCTGTGGTCTGCGAACATGCTGCGTGAGATATCGCGCGCAATCGTCGACAGGTTGCATGCTTCATCAAAGTACTGACTGAAGAATGACGGGCGCGGGTCGCGGTGGGTTGGATATGGTTGCCAGAGGGATTGGTCTTCGGACTGGTTGATGTCAATCCGGGCCATGTTGACGTGATCGATGAGACTTGGCCGGAGGAAGGATGTGTGTACCACTCTGTGGGGGTATCAATGTCAATGTCGGTTCGAAGGGGGAGTGTTAGCCGAATTCACTTACGTGTCAACGTTGAACAGACCCCAGGCTGTACGCTTGCATGAGATGTCCATGTCCTGGGATAATTTCCCAGACGCCATTTGGGGTCCTGTGCTGCCGACCAGACCCAGTGCCTCGCCCATTCGGATAGCCTGGTGCAGCATGATATAGCCCAGATCGTCTTCACGGGACAGTGCATATCTTTCTGTGTTAGAACAGCCTCAAGCTGGGAGATAAGCTTTCAATACAAACCGTTCATACATCAACAACGTCCCCTGTAAACCTGCCAAACTGGGCTGCGAATTCTCCTCGCCCCTCAACTTCTCGGCCTCGGCAAGGAAATCGCACCCTTTCGAAGAGATGTCACCAGGAACAACATACGCCTCGGAGAACTCAGAGAAGTACTAAACAAACCAGTCAGCCATTGAACCAAGACGAGCACAACTCCGACCAGCAAACCAAAAGATCAGAAACAGAAGGAGAGAAAACTTACACAGGCATTACTGAGCACCGCATTAACCAAAAACGGGCTACAAAACTCCGACCCAAGCACGCCCCTCCTCATGTGCCTAACAAAAACCTCTTTGTCCAAAACCGCCGTAAACGGCCAATCCCACGCAAAGTACAACGAAATAAGATGCGATACGAGATCCGCATCAGCCGTAACCCTCGTCCACGGCGCCGCAGGGACCTCACAAGGCGCGGAGTCACACAGATAATGTATATCCATCACTTTTCTTCTGAACGTCGGACCCGTACCCTCGACATTGACGAGCCGACGCATATCTTCAAGCTTAGCAACGGTTTCCTGTTTGTGCGCTGCAGAGGTTGATGTTGACGATGTGAGGGATGCAAGTGCTTCGTTTATGTACGCGCGGATTTCATCGGCGGGGGCATTCTGTCGGATGATCGTTAGGAGGTGCAGTGCGTCTGACTCGTTTGCTTCACGGACAAGCTTGAAGAGGTCTGAGAGGAGGTCGCGGTGGTAGGAGAGTTCATCTGCCGTTCTTTTTGCGGCGACGCGGCGGCGTTGATCGAGGGATTCGTCGAAGATGCAGACTCTTTTGAAGGTCTGGCAGTTTGCACAGGGGGATGTGCCAGAGCACTTGATTAGTTAGTTAGTTAGGATGGTGCTATCATATGGGTGTAGATGAGATGTCGATCTGATGTAGAGGTAGGTGTCGGATGGTATATTGATCTCACCTTCCTCTTCGATTTCTTACAAGCCAGACAAGCTGTCGAAACCCTCTTCTTCCACGTCCCAGAACTCTTCCCTTCCTCGGCGGGTGGACTACTGTTGTCGTCATGTTCATGATAGTCCGGGTCCGGGTCCGGGTCATTCCCCGTAGATGAGGGACCTGGTACAAGACGGCGTTGATGCCCCCTCATCTTCCGACATGAGCAGGTGGAATATGGACTGCTTCTGCGTTTCCGGTTTCTTTCAAAGGCAAAAATGTTAAAGGCAATATATGGACAAGACTGGACCGAATATGTGAAGAACTGTATGTGAAAAAAGAGGGATATGTAACAAAGCGAGAGGTACAGTCAAATATGTACTGTTAGCAATATACAAGAACCCCCAAATTTAAACTGTACAAGATCAGGGAGGCATATTGTTGCAAGGAATATCCTGCTTTGAATATTGGTAGGGCGACATACTTGAGATGCCCGGGGTCTGGGGTTTAGTAGGGGCAGGGGTGGTTTTGCCGCGAATGACGTTGCGAAGATATCATGGGGAACTTATTCCCCGCCTATGATCTTGGGGGGATATTTTGCCTGAAGGCAATGGCGCATTCGGTGTTCTTTACATCTCTTTTGACCTGAATTTCGTGAGATCGAAGCTTGATGAGGCAATTTGGCGCCTTTGCGGTTGGACAGTAAGAAGGGAAAGCAGAGCAACGAACCGGGACATGGCCATCAATCGACACTCCATTAACTACACAATGCGAATCTATACTGTATTGAACGAATTGAAATGGTAATGCATTGAGAATGGTCTGGGCAACAGTCACAGTACTTGGGAATCAAAGTCAGGTCTAGACTAAAAACCCAACAAGAAAGAAAGAAAAAAGACGCTGGATTATTGTAATGTAATACAAGTACTTCTTTTGCATACTCCATGGGATCCATAGCCTCGGGTGTACCAATTAAAACGAGAAAAAACCAACCACTGCAACGGATCGGGTAATTAACAAGACAGAAGAATCACATGAAGACATCTAGTGCTCGAGGATTCTCAGGCTGCCCTGAACAACACAGTTCTCAAGCACGGATCCAGGGGGAATGTCAATGGTGCTGCCCTCGGAGGCAACAATGATAACAGTGCCCTTAAGTGTGACGTTGCGGCCGAGATTAACAGGTCCAGTGATAGTAAGGTGGTCCAGCTCGACAATGCGAGGAATGCTGGTAATGCGCTTCTGGAAGTCGGAGACCTTCTTGAAGTCGGAACCGAGCTTGATAACGGGGACACCTCCGAAGCGGTTGGGGTCCATGACCAGCTGGCCGTGCTCGAGACGGTACAGGTCAGACTTGACGACCATGAGGTCGGAGCAGGTCTTGACGGGCAAGAAGCGACGACGGGGCACGTTAACACCGTGGGCGTTCTTGAAGTGACGGATGGCGGCACCGACAGCGGTCTCAAGCTGGTAGATAGCCTGATCGGCCTCACCCTTCTTGTCAGCGGGGATGGACTTCTCGTTAGGGATGATCTCCATCTCCAACTCGTTCTCCTCAACGACACGCTTAATAGCCTGGACATTCAGCCAGATGTTGTTGGTGTTGAAGTACTTGAACTTCTTGATAGACTTGAACTCGTTGACGTGCTCCTTGGGCACCTGGGCGATCTCAAGCAGGCGGACCTTACCATCGGAATCAATAATGGTACCACCCTTGACGTCAGCCTTGGTCTTGTCAGTCAACTCCATGATGTACTCAGCCCCAGAGTCAGCCATGTGCTGCAGGATGCGGAGGTCCACCACGGCACCGAGGTTGTCGGCGTTGGACAGGAAGATGTACTCGATACCACGCTCAATCAGCTTGTCCAGAGTGCCGGAGTTGTACAAGGACTCGAAGACGTCACCGTGTCCGGGAGGGTACCAGTCCTGGAGGGGGGAATCGAAGCTCTTGGGGGCGGGCAAGAGAGAGTCCTTAATGATGCGGGGGTAGCGCGACTGGTTGAAGGTGATGATATCGACGTTGTGGCCCTCGTACTTCTTGATGATGGACTGGGTGTCCTGATCGGTGTTGAAGGAGTTCATGAGGACGAAGGGCACGTTGACGTTGAAGCTACGGTTCAAGTGCTCGATCTGGCGCACAGAGAGATCGAGGAAGGACATGCCCTCACGGACCTCAATGACAGACTTGGGACCAACGCAACCCATGGATGTACCGAGACCACCGTTCAGCTTGACCACTGCGAGCTTGTTCAGGAACTCGACGGAGGCATCAGCACCGAGGTCATCGTAACCAATAACCTGGGAAGGCTGGGGAGGGGCGATCTTGTCCCAGTTGACAGCGTTGCCCTTGGCCTTGTCGTTCAGGAAACGGCGGAACAGGGCGAAAAAGTTGTCCATCTCAGCCTCGAAACGCTTCTTCTCGTTGGGGTCGGCAACGGTGTCGCCGAGGGCGTTCAGGGCATTACGCATTTGTGAAGCGGCGACGCTAGTGGAGGCATTCTCGAATGCCTGGTTGGAGGTTTCACGGGTCAGCTCAGGACCAAATGGGGGGAACAAAGTAGCCATTGTAACGAGAGGAAGAGACACAATTGAAAGGGAAGGGGGGGAATGGGGGGTTTCCGACAGTACAAGAAGATTGGGTGAGAGGACAAATAGAGCAACGATGATAACAGTAGCGATGGCAACAAGAGGAGAAGAGGAGGAAGTTGTCTCCTGAGACGCATCCAGGAAAGCAGCAACGAAACAACCCAAAACAGGCAGGAACGGCCAAAAGGGCCCGAACGAAGCTTCCACGATTTGAGGATTTAGGCATTCACTGCCTCCAGTGAACTTACCATGTGTGACTGAGACTTGCCATGGTGCTTTCCACCGAAGGCCTCGCTCTCGGGAGCCCGAAGGTGGGTGGGAAGAGCCTTGGAGCCCATTATGAGTTGTAATAGGGATGTGGATATGAGATGGGGAACTAGCTACAAAGAAAGTGAACAGGTCAGTGACAGATTCCGGGTGAAAGAGGCAACGTGGCTCCATTTAAGCAGCTCAAGAGCTCTCCAGAATAACCCAAGGGACAAAAAAGAGGGGTTCATTATTGCCACTTGGTTCCATTGGATGTCAAGCTGCCGTCATAGGTAGGGGAACTCACAGATCAATTCCTAAGGGCACAGAGGTAAAGAGGGGAAGAAGGAGAGCAAGGTCCAGTTATAAAAGAAAGGGAAAGGGAAAAAAGGGAGGAGTGGGGGAGAAAGACCCCGTGATTTTTCATGTTATTTGTTGTACCTATTTAGGCATATCGACATTTAGGATTTCGTTTCTAGTACGATGGAGTGTGTAAGAAAATAATCAAATCTCCCAATCCGCATTCTCTGTTCATCTGCCGTTGCCATTGCTATGTCCATTCTCTTATCTCGGTCCTTGCATCCCGATGTCGTCAGTCATCTTTGACATGCCGGGCTGGAGCTTCGGGTACCAACACCGCAGGACAGAGGACGATGAAACCTGGATAGAGTAAGTGGTGGTTCTACAGTATTCTCATTCGAACCATTCAGCATGAGCTATGCTCTTAGACCCCTATGTTGTATGCCCGGAGTACACAATTCCACTGCTAATCCAGACCCCTTTTCCCTCTCCACCTTAACAGAGCTAGTCCCTATAAATTGGATTAGACCCCACCAAAAATACAAGCTCTTACCCTCCCCTTTTGCCTTGTTTCAGTTTCAGGTTTCAATGGTTTGGAATAAACTCAACTGATTCGTTCCGACTTGTGTTGTATGTCAATGTGAGATTGCAAGACGTTTAGAATAGGTACAACATACATAGAATGTTCACCTGACCTCTTTTAGATCAAATAGACAACAGAACTCGCCAAGGCTGTTTGTACGGGGTACTGATTCAAATATACAATGGACCTAGCTTGATACATTGGAAAGCACAAAAATGCAGGGAGAAATTGGCTCTTCCACCTATATCCCCTATTGTCACCACGGAGTACAACGAACACATAGGCTATTACACAGAGTGTCTCTTCTAATTCTTCACTAACTGTATCCTAAAAGAAAAGACCGGTCAAAGTGGTAACTGTGGGACACGCAAACTATCGACCCCACCACGCCTCTTCCCTAAATAAATGAGGCTAATGCACTCCGTACTCTTTACGGAGTACGGATATCATAGAAGAGATCTAAAAATAATTCGGCAACTGAATACAGAGTACGGAGTACTCCGTACTCCGTACACATCTCTTGGATCTCCTATCCCGACCTCATCATCTACACTGACATATATCTCCACACTCAGTAGCACAGATGTGATACAATCGAGGTCCCTGCTGGGCTCTTTAAGAAGCCCAAGCATCAAAGCGCAGACCTCTCCGGGCTGTGTAGACCAAGTTTCGGGAGAACAGGATTCGGGTGAAAGAGGAGGGCCCGAGACCAATTTTATTTTTTAATATAAAGCCATGAGAATGTGATGAGAATGCCATTTAATCGTGCCAAGCCCACCACCTACCCGGTGTTGGTGGGCCCCAGCGGATAATCACTGCTCACCGGATCACAATTTGCAAAACGAAGTATCTTTGTTATGGCAACTCAATGCTAAGGAGACTTCCACGCAACATCATTGTATAACCGTAGGTTTTGTAATCCTCAGACTCGCTCAAGCAAAAAAGAAAAGAAAAGAAAAGAAAGGAAAAGAAAGGAAAAGAAAGGAAAAGAAAAGAAAACGAAACGAAACGAACAGAAGCTAAGACTCGTTCTAGAAAATCAATGTAGACGTGGACTCCGGATGGAGTAAAGAGCTTCTTTGAAAAACACTGTATATTTAATATGATAGATTGAGACAAAGTGATCACGACTCCATTTACACTCTTAATACCTCCTTAGATTCAAGCCCTGTTGGAGTCTGGAAGGGTGAAGAAAATCGCGGTTCCGACAGTTTTACGTACAAGTATCTTTTGTATGTAATTCACACATAAAAGAGACTTACCTCTACAATTTGGGATTCGGGTCATCCGCTGGGGCCCGGGTGGACTTGGCACGATTAACTGTCAGTATACGGAGTACTCCGTAATTCGAGAAGCCTCGTCGGGAGCCCCTTTAAAATTCCGAAGTGAGACATTGGGTCGGAAGTCTTAGACTCAGCCTTGTTTTCGGCTTTTTAGTGTGGCGTGAACTATTGGCTTTGGACTATTTTTATGTTGTACTCGGCTATTTTCAATTCTCC